GCTTTGTTCTAGGACAGTCTGTGGTTTTTCAGAGGTGGAAAAGACTAATTAAAGAGCCACTGCTAGCCCTGGGCTCCCACCAGCTCCCAGCACCTGCAGGAGCCCCACTCACCCCCGTGGGTGTAACTCTGCTTTTTCCTCCACATCCTTTTGACTGGCACAGAGAAATGTCTGAACTCCAGCCAGGTCCTTTGCTGTGTCACCTTAGGGTGGAAAGATTGAGTTATCCTTTAGGGCTGTCTGAGACTTCAGCACTCTGGGGCTTCCCAAGGATAAGATCTGTTGGTAATGAGAAGGGGGATGAAGAGGAAGGGCTGTATTGCCATGTCCATCAGAATGCTCTGGATTCCTCAGGTGTCAAAGGAGACCTGGACAAAATGCAGCTCTTCTCCTTCTCCCCCTGATGTGATCAGCCTCCACTGCTGCAGCCAGGGCAGCATCCTCACTGCCCCTGCCCTAGGTCAGCCAGGGATCCTTTGGGATGGACTGGGGCCACATTTCCTTGCTGCCCTCCCAGGGACTCCCAGAAAGCCAGCAGGCCCGTGATAGCTTGGGGAGCAGTCTGCAGCATCTACAGAGAGCTTGCTGGATGGTGGAAGGAGCTCATTTAAATGAGAAAAAAAGACTTTGAGTACATTGCCAGCATTCTCCTTGCCTATTTTACTCCCCTTTCGGCTTCTGCTTTCCAGTGAGCAGTTTTATGTTTCCAAGGATCATAAATTCTCATTTTTCCACTGGGCAGGAGGTGCACTCCTGGTCTCCGCTGCTTCCTGCGTGGCTTTTGTGTCCGTGTTGCCGAGCTACTGCAGCACAGCCCGGGCTATGCCCGGCCCATTCAGAGCAGCCCCGGGCCACGGGGGCTCGCAGCGCTCCACCGGCCCCTGATTCCCGAGGGACACACGGGGAGAGGCTTCCAGACAGAGCCACGGGGAGGGCGGCGCTGCCCGGGCCGGCAGTGACCTCGGGACGGTGGGAGGCGATGCTGAGGGGGGATCGGCATGGACAGACGGCAGCCTGTGAGCTGTGGGCATGGACACTGCCGGTCTGGCAGCTCCAGGGCAGCTCTCCAAGCATGGGTACTTTAAACAGCAGCCCAGATAACACCCTGTCCTCACCCCGTGTAGGTCAGCTGGTTTGAAATTAATTACATTCCTGAGCTGGAAATACTTGGATTCATCATGGCTTTAAATCCTGAAATGGGACTCGTATAGAACCAGGGGAAGGGAAGGGAAGGGAAGGGAAGGGAAGGGAAGGGAAGGGAAGGGAAGGGAAGGGAAGGGAAGGGAAGGGAAGGGAAGGGAAGGGAAGGGAAGGGAAGGGAAGGGAAGGGAAGGGAAGGGAAGGGAAGGGAAGGGAAGGGAGCAGGGGCTGGGGGTCCCTGCCTGGAGCCGGTCAGTCGGGGGGCAGAGCTGAGCTCATTGCCACTCCTCATTGCCATGCTCCCTGTGTCTGTCTGGAAGGGAAGCCTGGGGAAGGGGCTGGGACAGGCCATTGTTGGGGTTGTTTATGGACACATCGATCCTGCAGCCTGCCAGGCCGGCATGGGCTGAGGGAGGCCAGGGCAGGACAGCAGCCTGAGGGCTGGCTGGGGAATTTACAGCCACAGGGAGAAGTCGCTGGTTTCCAAGCCTGAGGCATCTTCCTGTGGGCATGCAAATAAGTCCATACCCAGCTGTGACTGGGGGCATTGACATTCTCCAGCTTCAAAAACCTGCAGAGCCTCTGCTTTGATTTCCCTTAATACAGCCTAAAACACCATTTGAGCCATGGCCAGGAGCATGTTCTAGCCTTGCTGCTCCTTGTTAATGAAGAAGATGCATTTTTTGGAAGCAGAGACTGCCTCCAAGACCTGCAAACTCTCTATTTTATGACAGTTTTCATTTGCATAATGAAGGCCCTGATACCTTCAGTAATTAATCACATTAAGAATTGCTTCCTTGAATAACTGTATTCATGCAGGTTGTTCCTAGTGCTGGAAACTGCACATGATTTCCAATGTGCATTAGCCCAAGTTTCATCAGCAGATGGAAGCTGGTAACTGCATGTGTAATTTATATCTGCTTGGGTGGAATTATCCAATGAAATATGCATCACACGGTGCCATTAACATTTCTAGTCATACAGTCTTTAGCTCATGGGTAAGTTAATATTTCATGCCAGCAGTGTGTGGGACTGTAGGAAAGGCAAAGTCTTGAACACAGGTATTTAAGAGCAGAAGTGGAAAGTATTCCAGGTCAAACACAGCAGATATAGAATTAATGACACTGCTAAAATAAATGAAATTAATTACCCTTGTTTGACCTGCATTTTTTTTATAAAATGTCCCATCTTGTCTCCATAGTTAAGAAAGCTGCCAGGCTGCTGTATTGCTACTTGTAGGGGCAACTCCAGATCCTTTAGCATCCAGAAAGCTTTGCCCCACAGGACAGCACAAACAACAGGAGAATAAAGATTGAATTGTGGAAGGCAGCAGAGAGAAATGTTGCTGTGTGGGTTTGGATTTGTCAGTAACCTTGATGAATCTGGGGGGAAAATCCCATCAATTCAATAGTAAGAAGAAAATCAGTGACTAGTCTGTGCTGTGACAGCAGTGACAGGTCAGCCTGGAGCCTTGTGCCAGGATAAAGGTTGGGTTATGCCTGAGCATTCTACAGGAGAAAGCCAGCTGTCTCAGAGTGCCTTTTCCCATGTGCTTTCCCGTCCTTATATAAATCAGTTCATTAAAATACTGATTCCTGCTTGATAGGAAGCAATTAAATGACTGAAGCTGTGTTCCACCTGCCTCTTCTGTGGAGAAATGCAGAGAGAGCCCAAGGTGAGCTGGTGTGCTGTGAGCATGGGGCTCTGCCCTGCTCTGGGTGCTCTCACCCAGTTGTGCTCCTGCCTCCTCTGCTGGGACATCCTGCAGCTTCTGCTGCTTGAGGGGTTTCACCTTTCAGAAGAGATTTGAGGCACTAATGAGTTTTAACTCTTTTCAGGCCAAGCTGGGTCTGGCCATGGCTGGGCTGTGCCTTGGCTGTGTGCTCAGCAGGGATGCAGCAGTGGCACTGGCTCCATGGAGAGAAGGGCCAACAAACTCCTTCCTCACAGAGGCCACATCCAGCCTGTGGTGCTGCACAGCTCTGGCTGGGGCTGAGGCCCTGCACAGAGCCAGGCTGGGGTGGGAGCTGGCTGGAGTTCCCTGGGTTTAGAGTCTTGCCATCACTCCTGGCAGCACCCACAGATTCACTGCTGCTGCTCCCAATTGTTCCTTTCTGTCCAAGAGAGAAAGAAAAAGCATCTCTGCAAAATCCAGGCTTGGACTTTGCTTAAAGCCTTTGAGTAAAGAGCCTTGTTTGAATGTAATTGCACCCCTGTTGCTACAATGGGAAAATACACTGTATTGCTCTTTCTTGGAAAGCACAGCTAGTATTTTCCCAGCCATTTGTGTATAAAGAAAGATAAACAGCTCTTTAGCGGGCAGAACAGTCTATCCCGGGTTTATTGACATTCATGGAGCAGACAAGGACAAACAGTTTGGTGAGCACAGGGGAGGGGGAGCAGCTGGGCTGGGGGGCCTGGGCAGAGGGGCAGAAGGTGGGGAAGCCCTCTCAGGTGCTGAGCCTGGAGAGTCCATCTGCGTGACCCCAGGCCCTGCTGCATCCCCTGGGCCCCTGGCAGCCTGCAGGATGCACTCAGCACCTCACCCTTCCTCTCACTCCTCCCCATAAATAAAAAACGGGTACAGCTAATTTAGTTCCAGCTTCACACGCAAGAGCGCCAGAGATAGATTTTTAAAGAGCTTGTCTGAAAGTAATAATTCATGGGGAGATCAAAAGGCTGTGGTTTAATCCGGGGTCTGTCTGATACCATAAACCTTGCAGAGTGCTAAGAATTCAATGAGCAGCATCAAAAGCCTGATCAACATGAAAGCCACCCAATTTTCTGTCTGTAAAGCTGGCGTGGCTCACAATGGGTGCTGAGGAGTGGGGAAGATGTTTATCTTCTCTGCAGAGCTTGGGTGACAGAGCCACACACATTCCTCCAACTTCAGCATCCCAAAAGAGGAGCCTGGACTCCATTAACATCTCACTTGCTCCCTGCATGTCCCCAGCTGTATAAAGAAATCAGAGTTCTAATTAAATGTCTAATTACAAGGCCTAGGTAGTTTTCAGGCTGCTTGGCATTGCCTTTTCCTCCACATCCACGAATCAGAATCTGCATTGATTTGCCAAAGCAACGTGACAAAGTGGTGGATTTCAAACAGGGACTGCAAGAAATATGGAGTATCAAAATGCTGTGTTTGGAAGCTAAAAATGGTGCTTAAAATGGGGGCAGGAAGGATGAGTGCTGTAAACAAAGGTCTCCAGAGTACAAGGGCTCTGCCACGCTTCTAACTATCAGCTAAAGCAACATTTAAAAGTCAGTGTTTAATTTTTAACACAAATGGAGGTGAGCTCAGGCTGCAGACACCTGCAGAGTTTTTCTCCAGAGATCCTGATCCCACAGAGGTTAATGTGATTATGCAAATGACTGAGGTATAATTGCGTTACTGCCGCCCATCTGGCCCTCCCTGCAGCTCCTGAGTGATTTTGTATTCCCCGTGCAGCGCAGGGCTGACACACAAGGGCATCAGAGATGTCACTGCTTGGGGTTTGCTGCAGGTGCCACCTCCCCATCAGACCTCTGGAGCAGAGTCCTGCTGGACCAGGCACGACCAATGCACCGGGAAAACTCTTCCCAGATCCAAATTAACAGCCTGGGTGTGGTCCAGAGGATTGAACTCCACTTGTCCTCTCCAAAGGGATGCTCCTGACAGAGCCAGGATCCTGCCTGGCATCCCAGCTACTGCACCAAGTCCTTCCCAAAACTGTTTTTCTCAGCAGAATAAAACAAATTCCCACCTCTCTCAGCAGCTGGGATGAAACCAACACCTGGCATTTTCCTGTCAGACACTGACCACCAGACACTGTCCCAGGTACCCCCAGGACTCTCTCAGACTCAGGTTTCTGTTCCCCCAGTATGAATTCAAAGCCAAGAACATTAAGAAGAAGAAGGTGAGCATCATTGTGTCCGTGGACGGGGTGAAGGTGATCCTGCGCAAGAAGCAGAAGGTGAGGCTGCTCCAGCCCGGGGTACCCAAACTGGCCTTCTCCTAAAAACACCCAGGATTTGCACAAGAGAACACTCCAGTTTCCATCCTACTAATAACAACACCTTGCTGGAGAGAGAATGGAAATTCTCTGGGGAAGAGGATATTTTTCTATCCAAAAAATGTATCTCTCATGGGATACATTTTTTCTTTCTCTTGCTAATACCAGAAAGCTTTTTCCAGGCTGCCTGGTCTGAGCCCCCCTCAGCTCTTTGTCCTTTCCACCAAGTCACTGAATCCAGATCTCCTCAGCCCCAGCTCCAAACCTTCTTCCCCAAAGCATGTAGTTCTTCTGCATATTTGATGCTATAAATTAATCTTAGGGACCATTTTCAGCCCTGAAGGCTGTGATCAGATATGATAAACGATCCAAAAAAAATCTATTTTTATCTGAGATATTGTTGAAACAGCCGTGGCTCATCTAATCACACTGCAGCCTGGATTGTGGCTTGGGACAAAAGCACTGTTCCCCAGTTTTCCTGCCCCTCAGTGCAGTGGAGTTTCACCTGATTTACTGTAATTTTGTCTCTGCTTACAGAGAAAGGAGTGGACCTGGGACGAGAGTAAGATGGTGGTGATGCATGATCCAGTGTACAGGTACATGGCAGGGGATTCAACCAGGGAGGGCCACTCTGCCCTGGGGGATCTGTGCCCTCCTCCCACCTGCTGAGACCCCTCCACCAAGGCTTTCCAAAGGAGCATCTAAAATTAACGAGGGTACAGAGTTACTGCTGCTGGAGAATCCTTTTCACACATTTTGGAGAGTGAGATGGACTGATCTGGCTTTGAAGCTGGCTCTGCTTTGAGCAGGGTTAGACTGGGTGACCCTGGAGATGCTCCAACCTGCATTTCTCTCTGATTCTGCCTCTGAAGACAGGCTTCCCATGGTTTTCCTTCAGAGCATGGCTCTCCCTGTGCTTCTGAAGCAGGGCCTTACTCTAAGGTGTAAGTGCTCACTGGGAATTAACCCTTACAGACATGCCAAGAATGCACTGACTTTCCATGAGATATAGAGGTATATTCCACAGGCCACAAGCCCCACCCAGAGGTTTACCCTGAACATAAACCTGGTGCCTCAGGAGCCCCTGGGGATGGGAGGTGTGCCCAGTGATGGTGCATGGCCTGAGGATGGGCTTAGAGCACAGGGTGCTCCAGGCTGTGGCATCTGCAAAGTAAATTCTTGTACATAAGCACTGAGCCCACAGCCCCAAGAACTGGGATCCTCAGCACTGGTTTTTGGGATCAGAGCTCTTAGTGAGGAGATAAGGAACAGAGGATATGCTGATGCATTATCTGTGCCCACTTCTCACCTCCGGCTTTCTTTAAAGATTACTACAGAGATGTGGTACATTGGCAGTAATTGCTCTAACTGCAAGTTCAACACCCAAAAAATTCCAGTGACAGAAAGAGCAGAAGAAAAAAAAACATTTCAAGAATCCCTTTGGTTTCTTCTCTATTCAGAGCTGAGCTCACTTGTCACATTTTCACCTAATTAAATCAAACATATATAAAAATCTTCAAAATGTTTTGCAGTACAAGGAGGAGAGTCAGCCTGAGCAGCAGAGAGAGAAATCCTGAGAGTGCACTCAGCATCCCTGGGAGAGGCTTTTGTGCTGTGCCACCTGCCCACTGCCAAGGAGGGACCGTCTGTGTCCCCAGGGGCAGGACAGCCACCACCCTGCAGGCAGTTCTGCCTCGCTGCAGCCTGGGCAGGGGTTAATTGCTGAGGCTAAAAATAGCCACTCGCTTTCCAAGACTATGGATTTTTCGCTTTCCCACAGGATCTTTAAAAAGCTTTTGCCTGCTTCAGAAACCAGAAGGTTTTCCATCAAGCCCGAAACTCTCTAAATCCATCGCCTCCTGCCTTGAGAATTGCAGGAGGGGCCGTGCACCAGCACTGCCTTGTTCCTCCAGCCCCGGGGGCTGCAAACCAGCCCATCCTTGGGACTCATGGGAGCAGAGGTGGTCTGGAGGGCACAGACTCCCCATGGTGTTCAATTAATCCCCTTTGTCTCTCTCCCACCCAGAATTTTCTATGTCTCTCATGACTCGCAAGACCTGAAAATATTCAGTTACATCGCACGGGACGGCGCCAACAACTCCTTCAGGTGCAACGTCTTCAAATCCAAGAAGAAGGTAAGGATGCTGCAGGGGATGCACCCTCCCTCTCCTGGGGATGCACCCACATCTCTGCACCCACATCTCACAGGGTGCAGGGCCCTGGGGAGTGACCAAGGCAGTGCCGGTGCCTGGTGCTTGTCCCCTCCTGCCCAGCCCGGCCAGCAGCACATCCCACACAGGGACAGGAGCCCCCAGCCCCAGAATGGGGAACGGGGGGCGCTGCTGGAGCACCAGCCCGGGAGGAAAGCACGGGTGGGAGGCAGGGGAGGCTGGCGGTTCTCGAGGGGCGGCGGTGGCAGCGCACGGCTCCGGGCTGTCCGCAGAGCCAGGCCATGCGCGTGGTGCGCACCGTGGGACAGGCCTTCGAGGTGTGCCACAAGCTGAGCCTGCAGCACGCCCTGCAGAACGCCGACGGGCAGGCCGATGGCGCCAGCGACAAATCGGCCGAGGAGCAGCCGCTGGAAGGTGACTCACGGCTCCCGAGGGGACTGGGCATGCCCCTCCCTAAAGCAGCGGTGCGGGGATGCTTTGGGGTGGGGACACGCAGGTGGCACCTCCTTCATGGGCGAGAGCTTTGGGCCCCTTGGGATGGGGAGCCCAGGGAATCTGCCCTGCCTGCCCACTCCTACTGAGAGCTGGGGAGGGGAAGGCTGGGCCCCCTGATTCAGCAAGCTGAGGGTCTGCAGCCCCTCTGCCAACCCATCCCTCCCTCCTGCCCCTTCACAGCATGCTGAGACTTGGAGCAAGTCCTGGCCCTTGTCCCTGAGCTTCCCCCAAATCCCAGCCCTGCGTGGGGCCCCGGCTCTTCCTCCAGCCTGGCAGGGAAGGGATGCTCACATTCACGTGTCCGTCTTGTTTGAAGTTCACCAGATAAAGGGCTCCAAGATCACGGATGTGGACGAGGTTGGCATCGATGCTGGGGGCATCTGTGTGTCCGAGAGGGGACCCAGAGAGCTGCCAGGTGCCAGGGGGGACCTTGGCATGCTGAAACCTGGGCAAGCCTCAAAGGAAAAGAACGGCCAGGTAATGGGGGGTGGGCTGGAGAACGGTTCATGTGCTCTGCTGCTGCTGAGGGCCCTCTGCTCCAGGTCACTGTATCATGGCTTCATTTGGAGGTGCTTTCATGGAGACCCCATTGCAGCCCTCCCCCCTGGCTCCCTGCTCAGGACAGGCTGTTCAGCTCCCAGTTCCCCTGCAGCCAGGCCGTGTCCAGGGCTGGGCTGGGGGTTGAGGTGAGAGGCAGGGTGGGGGCTGCAGTGCATGGCTGAGCAGGCTTCTCACCCCACCCAGGCTGGATTTCTGTGCTCTCAGTGCTGCTCTGCAGCAGTTGCTCGTTCGACTGCCCTGGCAGCGATCCCTGGCTGCCCTCGTGCTCCAGGCCCAGGGAGCAACGTCCCCAGGAGGCCCAGCCCTGGCAGCGCAGGCACCCGCGGCACGTTCAGCTCCAGCAGCAGTTCCACCTTAATGAATGGGTGCTCCACAGAGCTCTGGGAGCCCTTCCCGGGGGCCTGAATGGCATTGCTTCAGCTCACACAACAGTAACGCTCACAGGGCTGCCTGGAAACAGCTGCAGTGACAGGCACTCCCCGAATCCATGGGATTCGACTGCGTGCCTGGAAAGGCTGGGCTTTCCTGTGCATTCCTTCTGGCACTGCCCAAGCAGGGGAGGGCAGCAGCAGGAAGGGCAGTGGCTGCTGGCACTGCCAAATGCTCCAGGCACCAGGACACCGCCCAGCCTGGGCAGCCACAGCACGGAAAGGTGTGGAGTGTTTGGGTCACTCCCTGCTGTCTCCTTCCTGGGAGCCCTGGGGTCACGCCCTCCCCAGACACAGCCAAGGCAGCTCTGCCAGCTTTCAGGAAGGAGCCTCTCTGGAACACTGGGGATCCCACAGATGTGCAGAGCTGACAGCCCAGGGCTGCCCCTCAACACCCCCTGGGTGTCCCGAGCACAGGGGCTCCTCTGCTGCGCTGGGTGAGTGGGAACCAAAATCCAAATGCCAGCCTGAGCCAATCAATCCGCTCACCTGCCCATTTCTTTGTGCCCAGGATGCCGAAAACTGCTCCCTCCACCTGGCCAGCTCCCAGCAGCTGCTCAGTCCGGGCAGCCCCTGCTCCTCGGCCTCCATCACCCCGCTGGCCTCCCAGCACTGCCTCCAGCTGCTCCAGCAGCAGCTCCTCCAGCAGCAGCAGCAGACGCAGGTGGCTGTGGCCCAGGTACACGTCCTGCCCTCCCCTCAGGCGGCACCAGCCCTTCTCCTCCCCCTGGGCCAGGCTGGTGGGGCAGGTGGGAGCGGGCTGGGCCCTCGCAGCAGTGCTGGCAGCGTTCCCGGTCGCGCAGCTCTCAGCAGCATCGCTTGCAGCCCAGCTCGCAGCATTGCTTTTAGCGCCACGTGCAGCATCGCTTGCAGCACAGCTGAGCTCCCCCAGACACGGAGCTGGCTGCTCACACTGCCCCGGGCTGCTCTGGGAGTGTTGCAGGGCCCGGTAGAGCCCCCAACTCCCGTTTCACCCCATCTCATTGCGTTTTTGGAAACCATCCCACCCCCAATCCAGCATCAGAGCGGGGAGCCCGGTGCCTCCCGTCTGGGCACATCCCCTCCGCGTTTCTCGTTACCGGGGGGACAGCAGGACACCCCACACAGCCCCGGGATGCTGCCGCGTCCCCGCCCGCGGCTGGACCGGCTCGGGGGGACCGTTCGGGGGTGGCGCGGCGGGGCCGGCAGGGGGCGCTGTGGCGCCGCCGGTACCGGGCGCTCCCGGGGCTGCTGCTCCCGTCCCGCATCGCCCGGTCCGAATCATCCCGGCCGCACGACCCCGTTCGCATCTCCCCGTCCCGTCTCGCAGGTGCAGCTGCTGAAGGACCAACTGGCTGCCGAGACAGCGGCGCGGATCGAGGCGCAGGCCCGGGTGCGGCAGCTCCTGCTGACCAACCGCGACCTGCTGCAGCACGTCTCGCTGCTGGTGCGGCAGCTCACAGTGCTGGAGGCCCGGGAGGAGCACCGGGAGGAGCATCGGCAGCCGGGTGAGGATAGTGACACACTCACTGGGGTTGTTTGGGTGCTGGCACGCACCCAGCTCCATCCCTCTGGACAATCACTGCATTCCTTGAAGTCACAGGAAACAACTGGAGTGCTCCCAGTACCATCACAGCAGGCTCTGGGGGTCTGGGGCATTTCTGCACCCCTCACAGTGCAGGGGAACATCTGCTTTGGAGATGGACAGTTTTTCACATGCCCCTTGTCCATCTCTCACAGTTGACCACTCCTTGCAAAACCTGTCCCTGGCTCAGTCTCTCTCCCTGAACCTGAAGAACCACTACAGCCTGGATGTCCACCTGCCATCCACCTCCACCCCTGCCAGCATCCTGGGCAGCCCGGTGGCCCCCGGCTCGCTGCCTTCCCTGGGCCCCAGGGACTCCTACCTCAACCTCGTCAGCCTGGACAGGGGCAGCCACGGCTACGGCAGCAAGGAGGGGGACGAGTGCCTGGAGGGGCAGGAGGGGCTCAGCCGGCGCGTGGAGGGCTCCGAGGTCGGCGACTTCGCTCTGCCCAACGGGGGCAGCCGGCAGAAGGCAGACGACACGGCCAGAGGGGACGAGGACAGGTAGAGTGTGCCACCTCTGCCACCTGTGTCTCCTGCCAGCTGCAGCAGGAACACCCTGAGTGCTGCAGGGAGGTCCTTGCCCATCACCTCCTCTCTCTGCTTTCCCCCCACAGGCGGCAGCCGCCCATTCCCAAGCTCAACCCGCCACCCCCCATCCTACGCAAAAGGTCCAGCAAGACCTCCCCAAGCCTGGAAGTGGAGGTGAAGCCCGAGAGCACTGCCCACCTGAGCCTACCCAGTGCCAGCATCTCCAGCCTCACCAGCATCACTGCCAGCTCCCTCACCCTCTTGGACCCTGAGGCAAGGACTCCTGCACGGAGCGTTGCCTCCAGCACGGAGCCCGGCCCTGCCGGGACCTGCCAGCGCACTCTGGGCAAGGACAGGACTGGAGAGAGTGGGCCAATGTCCCCCTTGGCCAGCATCCATGACCCAGCAGCCAGCGAGACCCTGGCCAAGGAGTTAGTGGCCCTGGGCAGCCCCACGGACAGCTCACTGCCCTTCTCCCCTGCAGATGACACCTGCTTGCACATCAGCTTCTCTGAAGATGAGCTGGACACTGCTGTGGGGCCCAGCAGAGTCCCCTCTTAATGGGGCTACAGTAGGTGGTAGCTGGTGGCTGGCAGCCCCAGCAGCTCCATCCACAACCCTGAGCTGGGAGTGGGGGTCCCTGTGCCCAGGCTACGAGACAGGTCCCTTTCCTGTCCCTGTCCCACATAATGGCTTCCCTCACCACCTAGAGGCCACCCCACAGGCTGGGACTGGCCAGCCCTGCCTCAGTTGGCACCAGCTCACACTGCTGTCACACTGCCATCCTGTCCCTGCTCACAGCCAGGGATGCTCACAGCAGAGAATTCCCAGGGAGCTGCAGGCTGGAAGCCCTGGGCAGGGCTGTGGGACAAGAGACTGTTCTGTTCATCATTGCCACCCGTGGCAGCCTGAGCAGGGCCATGCAGCACAGCCCTGGTGTCACTGCCCTGCCCAGCTCCCCAGGGTGTGTCCCAGACTGCCACCATGCTGGGTCTCTCCAGAGCTGCCAGTGTCCACCAGCCCCACACTGTGCCCAGCCCTGCTTTGGGGACAGCAGCCCCACCACTGTGTCCCCATGCAGTGAAGCCACCACTGCCTCCATAGGTGCCTTTTCCCACTCCCCAGCACCCACTGCCCACACAGGCTGGGCCACCCCTCTGAGGCCACGGATGGGTGCAGGGCTGGCCATGGGAGCCTGCAGCAGGGGGGGTGACACCCTAAGGAAGGGTGCACCCCATGTCTTGGGGTCAGGGCAGAGCCCTCCCGTGCCCCCCGAGCTGCTGGTGGCTGCAGGCAGGAGGCTGCTCCTTGTGCTGATTTTAGGGTGTTATGGTGTGGGTTGGGTTTGGTCTCAGAAATGTGAGTGTTCTGGGAGGAGTTAAGGTTTAAGGAAGAAGTGGAGTGATGCTCATCCACCTTGGTTGTTTGTCAGAGGGTGTTGGGAAAGTGTCAGAGAGTCGAGTTGGGAAGTGTCAAGCAGAAAGGGAGACTTGGAGCAGCCGTGCTGCCTGTCCCTGGCATGGTGCTGCTCCTACAGGGAGAGGAGGGTGACAGGACATGCACCCAGAGCCAGCCATGGCAGTGACAGAGCCAGGACGGGGCTGGGGACTGGGCTGGGGGTTGTAAAGCTTAGCTGGGCTGTCCTGTAGTGCAGTAGTGACAGCCCCGCCCCTCCATAGGACACTGCGGTTTGGTAATGGACTTTTAAAGAAAAAAATAAACAGATTTACAGAGCCAGTGCTGTGTCTCTGCCCCGTGGGGCCCGTGCACAGGGGTCCTGAGCCTGTGGGGTGGACTGGGAACTCCCAGGTATTCCCAGAGAGGAAAGATTCCTGCTGGAAATGACTGCTGAGCCCCTGAGCTTCTCCCTGAGCAGCCCCTGCCAGGATGGCACCACCAGGCAGGGCCCTGCTTCCCACACACTCCTTTTGCTCTTTTCTGGTCCCATTTCTACTGCTGAAATAAATCCTGGCCACAGCACAGAGAATGGAGGGCGGTAGAATGCAGATGGCAAAGCTGCATGGGATGGGATCAGTGGCTTGCCAGAACACTGGGATCCCAAGGGATGCCTGCAGCCAGAACGGGCAAGAGACCCCTGCCCTCTGCAGACCCCTGACCCTTGCAAGGTGGGGAAGGAAATCCAGGTGCAATTCAGCACAGAGACTCCAGAAAGGACAAGGACCCTGTGAGATTGTTCCCCTGTGCAGGACAGGAGGCCCAAACAGAGGGACCCAGCACCCAGAACCTCTGTGGGGTCTCAGGGCCACCTCTCCATCCCTCCATGGAGTGGGTGCAGGCTCCAGCATGGCAGAGTGGGGAGCAGGGAGCCCCTTCCCCAGGCCCACTGCAGACATCTGCCAGGGGGCTGCCTGCATGGGGAGGGGGCACTTCCAGCCCAGAGCCTTATTATGCTTCCTTCATGGGAAGAAACTTTTTCCTTTGCTGTCTGCTAAGCTGCTAGCAATCATCAGGCAGGCAGGTGGTAAAGATTCATATCCATCAAACAATGCCATTTAGTTTGTAACCTGTGACTAAATCTGGTGTTAGCTTTAATTTCAGAGTCTGCTTTAGGGCTCGCTTGTTAATCTCTATGCAAAGCAGATGAAATGAATATGCAGCATTTTGGATGTAATTGTACAGCTTCAATTCAGCACTATAATTTTCCAAACAGGATCTTGCAATCAAGCTTCTATTCATTAGTGTATAAACAATTTAGTTTCTCAGCTCTCCAGTATGCCAATCATCTCAATGGAGTGAGCATCTCCGACAGAAAGAGGAGGAAAGTTTCCTTTGTGTAACAGAGGTAAAAGTTGCTCCATACTTCAGACAATTCCCACCCAGCAGATCCAGACCATTCCAACAGAAGTGGACGGTTCTTTGTGCCCCAATAACACTGACCAGCTGCAAACCCTACTCAGGGGAGTGATGCTCCAGTCATCTCCCAGCTCATGTAGCCCCAGGCCCTTCAGGAATTCTGCATGTGAGACCTTGGCGGCAGAGCCCAGATCCACAGGACCAGGCTGCCTGGAAAGGTGCAAACATGCAGCACCTCAGCACACCCCAGTGATCCTCAGGGCTCCCTGAGTGCCCACGACTCTGGGGAGGGGGTGGCCAAGCCCCCTCCACGTCCCCATCCCCCTGACACTGCACACCAGCTCAGCCTTCCAGGACAGAGCCCTGGGGACATCCCACACCTGGGGCCAGTGGCAGCTCCCTCATGGGAGGACAGGGCTGAGGTGACACAGGAGTGGGTGAAGGGCAGGTATTGATCTCTGGGGCTCAGCACCCTCATGGCCGGTGCTCTCCTCAGCGGGGACACGAGGGTGCCACGCATACATGAGCACCTCTGGCCCCTGCCCGCATCCCCATCCCCGTTCCCATCCCCATCCCCATCCCCGTCCCCATCCCCTCCCAGGCGGTGCGGGGGGACCAGCCCAGAGCCACGACAAAGGGAAGCGCCGTCGGCGGAGCCGCTCAGCGCGGTCTCGGTTTCCAAATGAATATCGACAGCGCTAATTACAGGCCGCCATGCAGACAGCTTATTAGCTTGTCACAAAAAGACGGTATTGAACCCGGAGCCCACGGTATTCACGGAGCGCAGCAAGACGCTCCCCAGACAGCACAGCGAACCAGGCAGGCGAACAACCTCCAGCAAAACTAATTACTTCCTGATTGTCTACGGCCACCCACTGGGTATAATAGTATAGACTAAATTTGGCATATACATAACTAAGCACTCAGCACCAATTTGGTGTACAATAATCATCCTCTGTGTTGCATAATTAAAATCTGATCACTTGGAATAATTATTTCATATTCCCAGTATCGGGTGAAGATTGCATAATGTGGCAGAAGTGTGAGCCTGGCAGTGGAATGATCCACTTCCACAGACGTGAGCCCCCAGGGAAGGGCATCCCGGCTCCAGGCTCCGGCTGCCTCCGCTGTGGCCATGGCCCTGTGGGCAAGGGGCTGTGCGGCCTCAGGCTTGGTCAGCACCGGCTGCAGAGGAGCTGCAATCTCCTCATCCCTGCTCTCCGCAGCAGCAGCAAGGCCCCGCTGGGGCAGGACGGTACCCAGCAGGACAGGTTGTCCCGGTGTCCCCACGCAAGCACTCTCCCCATTGACCTTTCCAGCCTGGCTGCTGCCCCGCTGCCCGCCCGGCCGGGATGCTCATCGCCCGACTCCATTGTGCTCGTACATCTGCTAAAGGCATTTGGAAAGACACGGCAATAAAAAATAAAAATCAAGTGGAACGTGTGTGTCTAATCCATTAACTTCCTCCGGCGGCTCCCCGGGGACGCGGCGAGGAGCAGAAAGAATACGTGGATATTGCACGCGCCCTGGCACCTTGTCCCCGGGCCAGCCCCGCCGCTGGCCGCTGCCACGGGCTCATAAATCACTGCGGGCGACAGCGTTTCACAGCTCGCTTCCCAGCCAGGATATGGCCATTTCTGCTGATTACACGGCCGGCGCGCGGGGGAAGCTGCATCTCCCACTTCCAGGAAGGGAGGATCCGCAAGGAAAAAGCATTGATAAAAAGAAGAACGAAATCAGCTTTGTTCACGTTGCGAATCTCCCATTGTTCCTGCTGCGGCCGTCAGCCCTTGCTGGAGAAAGTATTTCCTCAGCGATAAATCTCCTGGGCTCCTTGCAGCCCTCGCCTTGGCACCAGACCCTCCTCAGCTTGTTTTGAAAGAAAAAGCACTTTTGGCTACAGGCCCCCTGTGGGGTGCACTGGGCAATTCATGGTGTGAGTTTGGGGGTTGAGGGACAGCCCTGGGGCAGGGGACAGAGGCCTGGTGCCCATCCCAGGGGTCTCTGCCCTGTGTCCCCAGTCAGGGCCATCCCAGGGGACACGCACTGCCACTCCCAAAAGCTCCACTCCCTTCCCACAGCACCCGGCACGAGCCGGGGAAAGTGAGTCTGACCGGGGCCATGCTAATCCCAGTGCTGAAACATGGAGCTGGCAGTGGCCAAGCACTTGGAATACGGGAGTCAGGCTGACAGTTGTACAAGAAAAATAGATCAAGTTTCCAAGAAAATAGAGCCGAGTTGATCTGATTTTCATCAGCATCTTCAGCCGCCTTTCGGGAAGCCCCAGCCTGCTCCTCATTCCTCCTCTCCGCTTTACAAACCACTTAATTCCTTGTTGCTTTGGAAACCCTCACAAAGACCCTCTGCATCCCCCAAAATAACGAGCAACAGATGCTGCTTTGACCTCAGCAACTTCCTGGAAACATACATTTGTCAAAATAAAAATAAAAAGATTAATGTGAGGAAGGCTTTTAAATTATAAGGAAACAGCAGACAGAGCCTGGCCTCGCACGCCGAGCCCGTGGCCTGCGGAGAGACCCAGGAATGGGCAGGGAGAGGCTGTGGGACCAGGGGTCCCTGTGCCCCAGAGCTTGGGGACCCAGAAGGGCAGGGTCTGACAGTGCTGTCCACAGCCAGGGACACCAGCAGCAGGCTCAGTTCTCCTTCCCTCATTTATTGGTTTATAGGAGCAACTTGTCTCTTTTACAGAGCCTTAAAGCCCTTTGCCCATCCCGCAGGGTAGGAGATGGGCACACGACGGCTCACCAGGAAATTCTGGGTTATGAGCACTTGGACACCAGTAGGTTTCACCCTCCCACTCCAGCTGCAGAAACCTGGCACATCCCCGGGACAGAGCTCATGCACAGGCACAAGCACTTCCCAACAGCACCTGAGATGCCCAGCAAGGGCTCCTGGCAGGACTTGTGACAGCCACACTGGTGTGTGACACAGCCTGACCCACAGCACAACCATCCCACTAAAACCCAGTACCCACAGCACAACCTATCCCACCAAAACCCTGTACCCACAGCACAACCTATCCCACCAAAACTCAGTACCCACAGCACTCACCAGAGCTGCAGGCAAGGAGGCTCCACGTCCTCCACACAGGGGAAGGCCCTTTTCCCTCCCAGCTTAATGGAATCAGCCAAAAACGAGCTGCTGGGAAGGGCCTCCTTCTCCTTGGCCTGGTGGGAGGTGGGCTGGGGGTTTGTGCATCTGGGGTGGGAGGGTCATGGGCACACTGGGGATTCCCATGTCCATCCTCTTCCAGGGGGTGGCAGTGGGGAGAGGACCCAAAAAATGCCTTTCCATCATGTTTATGAGGGACAAGAAAATGCCGGTGAGCTCGTTGGTGCTGGCAGGTGCATGTGGGCACTGCCAGCTCCCAGCAGAGGTGCCAAGGGATAATGGGAGCCATGCTGGAACATGGGCACTGTCAGCCCTGCTGGCAGCACAGGCCAAGGACAGAGGCTGAGCCCCGGCTGCCTCCAGCTCCCACACTGCCCACCCTGGGGCTCTGCCCTGCAGGTTCCAGCTGGCAGCACCTCTGCACTGCCAGGAGCCTGGAGTTAGTCCTAGACTGGGAAAGGGAGCCCATGTGCTGAGCTCCAGGGAGGAGAAGAGCCATGAGAGAGGCACACACTAAATAATCGCTGCTTTGCACAGAGCATCATACAGGCTCCTGGGTGCTCCAGGGGAACTGCAGCACCAGGGGCACACTGCCAGCGTGGCATCACCTGTGACCCTGGCATCACCTGCCAGCCTGGCATCGCCTGTGGCATGGCTGCAGTCCCCAAGGGACTGGACAAATGCCACAGCTCCTTGTGCAGGCACAGCAGGTCCCACCTTCACACTGTCCATGGGGCCACCACACCTGCACCACAGTCACCCGAGGTGTCTGTGCTCTGCTTGGGGCTCTGCAGGGGTGGTGAGCCAGGGCACCTGCCCACAGCATTGCACCCTGC